TTCAGAGGTGCTGGTTAAACTGATGATCTGCAGACCCCAGCAGCACGAATAACGCACGGTCAATGGCCCGTGGCCAACTGATGGGGCGCCGATGCTCAACGCTCGAGCTTTTGGGACTGCCCTGCCCAGAACTGTTCCAGTGACCCTTTCCTCATTACCTTTCCTCATTAGGACAGGAAATCTGCAGAGAAGGCCCCTTGGCCAAGCGGCCCCTGGTCCCCACCCATAGGAACTTGTGAAGGCTTCCAGTGTGGCACCAAGATTTGTCATGGACTAAGGTTCCCAGCCCTTGGGAGGCTGAGGCAGGAAGAACCCCGCTAGTCCAAGGCCAACCTGTGCTACACAGTGAGATTCTGTCTCAAAAAACAAAACAAGGGCCAGGGATATAGCTCAGTGGCACAGTGCCTGCCTGGCAAGCCCAAGGTCCTGAGTTCGATTCCTGCTACCAAAAAAGCAACAAAAATGAAAATCAAAAACAAAACAAAATACTAGTCATTGACTCAACGCAACAGTTGAGGACACAGGCACCCGATGCCCTTGCTGAGGGAGAAGCCGCCCACAAGCAAGGGCCATTCTGAGAGATAGGACGCCCCCTACAGGCGCCTGGCTGTTCTCCCATCCCACACACCAGGCTCCTTGCTGGTTTAGACCATAAGCCAGGGGTCAACTTCTCACTCTTAAACTCCCCAGCCGGTCTCTTTTTCAGTCGCGTTAACATAGAACCACACACGCACGGGCTGGGGAGATGGCTCAGTGGAATAAGCGCTTCCCTGGCAAGCGCAAGGTCTGAGTTCAATCCCCAGTTCCACCAAAAGACACAGTGACAGCCTGGGCGGGCTCTTCCTGGGAGATTATGAGGTAGGAAATAAAACGTGAGCGGATGCGGAGAAAAGCTTGAGTCGCAGTGTGAATTGAGTGCCGAACAACTCAGGACTGTGTTATTTACAGGGTAATTCGGCTGCTCCAGACCTTCCAGAGTTCAGAGTTCCTCAGCCCCGACGCTACTGAGGTTTTGCCACGGGTGCTTGTGTGTTCATCGTAAGGTGTCCAGCAGCATCTCTGGGGATGCGCCACTGGGCATCTGCAACACCGAAAATGTCTCTAGAACCTTTTTCATACTCGAACCTGTAGCAGATCTTCAGGAACAGTTCCCCTGAGCTGGCTGTGGTGGTGCATGCCTGTAATCGCATGAGGATTAGGCAAGAGGCTCAGGCAAGAGGATCGCCATGAGTTCGAGGTTATCCGAGGCTACCTGAGAGATCCTTTCTCAAAAAAACAAAACCGCAGTCCTGGGAGGCCCGCGTGTTAGGTTTGGGCCCCTGCGCGTGGCGCCGCCTAGTGGACGGTGGTGGGATCTTTTTTGAAGGCCGGGGCTTGGCTCAGGAGTGGCTCTGTGCTGATGATGCCACCCGAAGCGGGCCGAGCTGAGAGTGGGCTCAGGGGGCCAGGCTCTAGCTTACGCTTTGTGCACAGCGCCAGAGAGCCGGCCAGCGTGAGATCGGGTTTCTGCTTGTCAAACAGAACAGGCCAGACACTGATTCGCGCCGGCTGTGGGCTCAAAGAGCCGCTCGGAGTCGTTTTTCACTCGTCAGCACGCACAGCTCCACGAAGAGGGTTTGCAGAGCTGTACGCTGTGCTGCTGGATCTTCTTGTGCTCCAGGTGATTGCAATCTGACCGGGGCAGGAACGCAGCCTGTACGTCCGTGTTCTCCCTCTTTCCGAAGTCCCACGCAGCCTTCATGCTCTCGGGTTTATCAGCCTACAGGTGCCACCGTAGCCAGAGGAGCCCGCGTGGGGCGTGGGTGAATTTATGTCGAGCTTTCCAACTCATGCAATGCTGGCCTCCTCTGCCTCCGCCTCCTCCTCCTTCTCCCCTCTTCCCCCTCCGCTGCCTCCTCCAATTCAATTTTGCTTTGCTTTTTGAGACAGCAATCCAGGCTGGCCTCGACCTCGCAGCAAACCTCCTGCCTCAGCCTCCGGGCAGCCAGGATTGCAGGCGTGCACCACGACGCCAGGCTCTGGATTTCATTATTATTTTGTCCCGCGGTTCGGGTCGCACCCTCTAGGGTCCGGCGTCCGTTCAGCTCTCGGGGACCCTGGTCCGTGAGGTCTCCTTCCGCGCGGTCGCCCTCTCGCGGCCCAGAGCGCGCAGGCGGAGGCCGGCTGGGGTCCTTAGCGGTGCCTGCAGCCTCTCCGCAGGGACCCTGCGGCAGCCACCTGCTCGGCTTGGCAGAGAAAGTCCGTCCCCTATCAGGGACGCCCCCGTGTGCAAGAAGCTCTGTACCCCAAGGCTAGGGCCCCTTCCTGTCTGGGCTCGGGCGCCCGGCCAAGAGCGAGAACCTTCTCTGCGGGCGGCACCGAGGGTCCGTGCGAGCTGATCACCGCAAGGTACCGGCCGGAGCCCTGGGATCTGGGATTCAGGCCGGGCCCCGCAAGGCGCTGCCTGCCCGGCTTCCCCTTCGCCTTCTTCCCGGAGTAGCACTGTGACCCCTGGGGAGGGGTGGGCCTGACTCCCAGAGACACAGGCAGAGCCAACGGTGCCTTGAGGTCCTTGTCGTTGCTGCATGGATTTATACTTTGGAAAGTCCAGTCTAGGCTTCTGGGGTCACAGAAGGGCATGCGTATATCATGCTCCCCAGTACCAGAAGCGTCTGCGGTGGAGAAGCCTGGACCCAGCTGGATTCCCTGGAGCAGGCCCGGGACTGCTAGGAAGGGAGCCCCAGCCTCAGGGGTTTGCCTCCAAACGGATCAGATTCCTTCAGCCACAGCTGTGGGGACTCCCATTGGCTGGAGGAACCCCATTGTCTACAGTTAGGACCCAACTGGTCCAGCCACGCAGTCCTCCTCCGCCATCTCTCTCTTCCCTGTTTGTCTGAACCTCCTCCACCATTCCACCACTGAAATTAGGTCTACCTCCTCAGAATGCAGCAAAGGGTAACTGCTTCCTAGAAAAACTACACCGTATTTGGGGCCACGTATTTATGGCAACATAATCTGGGTGCAAGGTGGTGCCTCCGATCTCCGTTCCTTCTCTCGATAGAGAAGACAGCTGGACGCTCACTTTTACAGAAATAAATTAGGGAACTTTTGCACACACCTCACACTATTTCTACACGGATTTCCTTGGCGGCAAAGAGCTTCCACGGCTCACCTGCTTCACCCAGACAGCTGGGTTTTGTTTTTTGTTTTGTGTTGTTTTTTTTTTTTTTCAAACCAGGGGCAGAGGGCTCTGGTTTCAGTTTTACAGCTGTGGTGTCCCCAGGGAGTCTCACGGGTCAGGTGGGGCCCTCCCATCTTCCTCCCCAAGCCCTTGAGTGTCTAGGGCCTTCCCAGGAAGCAGGTGACAGAGAGGAAAGGACTGAAAAAGGAAGCCCAGAAGCAGGACAGGTTTGAGGTGAACCAGGGTGGGTGGGTAGGTGGGGAGGGGTCAGTCCTGCAACAGCCGCGTACAAAGCACGAGAGAGAGACAGAGAGAGACAGAGACAGAGACAGAGACAGACAGACAGACAGAGACAGACAGACAGACACACAGAGATTCCTGCTTCACAGAACACAATTGGGCTTTCACTCATGAAAAATGAAAGTGTGCCTGGCCTCAGGGAAAAATTGAATGTTCTATTTTTAAAAGCCTGTATAATAAAAATAATTTTTTAAATAGAAAATTAAGGGCCAGGGAGATGGCTCAGCAGAATAAGTGCTTCCCTGGCAAGTGCAAGGGCCTGAGTTCAATCCCTGATTCCAGGAAGAAAAAAAAAAAAAAAATATATATATATATATATATATATATTTATATGACATATGACATATATATATATTTTATATGACATATGACATATATTTTATATTTTATATGACATATGACATATATTTTATATGTCATATATATCTTTTATATGACACATAAAAGAAGCCTGGATTCATAGAAGCCTAGGGTAGAGGAAGATCACCCCATCTAGTTGCCCAAGCTGGGTTTGAACTGTGAGCCTCCTGCCTCAGCCTCCCTGAGTGCTGGCATCACAGATGTGTGTGGCCACGCTTGGTGCAATGTGTGACTGTGTTGGTGTGACAGTGGCTATGCTAGTAGACTTTGTGGGGAGAGACACTGAGGGCGGGGGCAGGCAGGACTGCCACACATGGCCACCCATGCAGTGCAATGTGTCTTGAGCAGGGTGGGGAGGGAACTGGCTATGCTGGAAGCCGCGCCTTGAGGCCCTCAGAGAGCCTGGGACCTCACAGGAGGTGACAATGGCAAAAAACTGCAGTGCGCATGCGCCCCTCCCCGCAGGTGTGTGAGCTTGCCCTCACAGCTCCTCCCGCTGGAGGGCAGAGCAGGTACCCTGGCCCTCCGACCCCTGTGGTGCAGGCGTGGGCACGGCCCGGGTTCCTGCCAGGGCTTTCTGGAGTGCTGGCCCGGGAGACGCCTCTCAGGACGACATCTGCAAGTGAAGAGCAGTCAACCTCATCAGTAATTCAAGAGCTGCAAGCTTTGAGCATTGTTCTTGCCCACTGGATAGGAAAATAACAAGCAGATTGAGGAGGGAGAGTGTGGTGGGGTCCAGGGACTGGTCTCTCGGGCTGTGTGCCTGGCTTTTTGCAGGTCACTGGGCACAACCCATCAGACTTGACACTAGCCATGCTTCGGCCCAGCGTCGCATTCTACTGAAGCCATCATCAGAGATGTGCTTTTTTAAAAAATATACAGACCAAAAGTGATGGTGGCACATACCTATAATTTCGGTGCTCAGGAGGCTGAGGCAGAAGGATTGATGTGAGTTTGTGGTCAACCTGAACCACATAGTAAACTCATGGCCAGCCTGGACTACCTACAAGACCCTGTCTCAAAATACTAAAATAAAATAATAATATACAAGGCTTGCCCCAGAGTTACATCTACAACATTTCCCACTATGTGTAACTTTTTTTTTCCAGGTACCAGTAATTGAAATCCAGACTGCTGGCTTGCAAAACAGGTGCTGCCCCAGTGAGCCATAGCCCTGGCCCCACTGTGTGGTAATGATGTCACCCACAGGGACACAACTCAAATGCCCACCAGCAGCACACTGGTGCTGATATGCACTTAGCAGGGTGAGCTTGGAGAAATAAAGATGCATGTTGATATGATAGTTTGTAAGGTGCAGTGAATGTTTAACTTTTTTACAGTTTATTAAAATTAAAAAATTTAAAGTTTATTAAAAGACACATTGTCATTAATGCCCCTCACAATCCTTCCTCTCACTTTGAATTCATTTATCCATCATCCCTGCCACTTTTGGAAGCCATTCTGGAGTGTCTGGTGGCACGGCCGTGGCTGCCTCAGTGTCATGAATTAATTCAAAGTGTTTCCCTTTCACAGTCATTTCTACTTTATGTATTTATTTCTATTTTAGGGAAGGGGTTATAGGGTGTTCAGGGTCTCACTACTAGATCGGATTCAGAGCGATCCACCTGCTTACAGCCTCCCAAGAGCTGGGATTACAGGAGCACGCCACTACGTCCAGTCTCAATCGCCATCTCAGTGCACCCTGGGGATAGGGCCTGCTCGGCAGGCCTGGGGATTGAACCCTGGCATCTGCGTCTGCCTAAGCAGGCACTTCAATCCACTGAGCTATTGGGCCAGCCCCATCATTTTCTTTTTTTTTTTTTTTAATTTTATTTATTTGTGTGTGTGTGTGTGTGTGTGTGTGTGTGTGTGTGTGTGTGGCCAGCTCAGCCCACCAGGGGGCGGGGCTGGCTGGCATGTGGTGCTGGGGGATTGAACCGCAGTCCCTGTGCTTTGCTAAGCTTGTTCTAAGTAGGTGCTTTAGACCACTGAGCCATCTCACCAGCCCCAGCCCCATCATTTTCACTTTGGGGAAGAGCCAGAAATTGCACAGGTGAGCAAGCTGGATGAGGATGCTACAGTGCTTTTATGAGCCCACTTTCCACCGAACAGTACACAGCAGCAGCGTTCACCATATTTTTCATCACACCTTATAAAGACACTTAGGAAAGAGGACTCCCAGAGTTGCTTCAGAAAGTGGCAATGGGGCTGGGGACATAGCACAGGGCCTGAGTTCAATCCCCGGTCCCGAAGAAGGAAGGAAGGAAGGAAGGAAGGAAGGAAGGAAGGAAGGAAAGAAAGAAAGAAAGAAAGAAAGAAAGAAAGAAAGAAAGAAAGAAAGAAAGAGGCAAGGATGGTAGGATGTTCCCCAAGTCAGGGGGACATTTTGAGGGAGACTAATGACAACGTGTCTTAATGATGTTTCTGTAGGTGTTCACCGTTCATATTGGTCACACCTCATAAGTTAGTGTCCACATTTTTTTTAAATCTAGAAGACTACAAACATACCAAAGTATTAATGATGGAGTTTTCTGGGACATGAAAGCTGAGGACTTTGAGCTTTAACATTCTGCAGTTCCTAGTGCTGTTGCAAGTAGAAAACAGGATTTTTTGTTTGTTTGAATTGTTTTTCGAGACAGGGTCTTGATATATATAGTTCAAGCAGGCACTGTGTTGAATTTTAAAATTTTAATCTTGTATTTATTTATTTATTTACTTAGTATGTGGTCTGGCTGTGCAGCTTGGACTCCTAATGATCCTCCTGTCTCAGCCTGCCCAGCACTATTATTATAGGAATGCACCACCACACCTGGTTTAGGTGGCCAGAAGGGCGTGCCTAGAGTTCTAGGACCAGCACGTGGAATACCAGGGATCGAACCTGGACCCTTGAGCTTGCTAGGCAGGTGCTTAGACCACCAAGCTATCTGCCAACCCTAGATATATAGTTCAAAGTGTCCTTGAGCAGGCCATAGAGATAGCTCAGTGGAATAAGTGCTTGCCTGGTAAGTGCAAGGTCCTGAGTTCAATCCCTGGTATCACCAAAGAAAAAAGGGGGGGCCTTGAGGTCACTATGTAGCCTAGGCTGGCCTCAAACTCATGGCAAACCTCCTGCCTCAGCTTCTTGAGCACTGAGACTACAGGCATGGGCCACTGCTCCTGGCTAGTGCCCAGAAGAGTGGGTGGAAGGCATAGTAGTGGACATTTGTCTTTCCTGGTGGCCAGCCCCTCTGTCCTCCCTCCATGAGACATGGATAATCTACTCATCTTAGAATATACCATTGCAGAAGTTGGAAATAATCCTCAGGTGCCCACATTTTAGTGGGCTTGCCATAGAAGTCACACAGGGAGGGCACCAGAGCCCAGCCTGCAGTCAGAGGAGCCCAAGGAGCCTGCGACAGGACTGGGGTCTTCTCTCCCCTGCAAGTGAGGCATAAATGAGATGGTGGGGCCAGGGATACAGCTCAGCAGCATAAGCGCCTGCCTGGCAAGTACAAGGTCCTGAGTTCAATTCCCAGTACCAATAAATGAATAATTAATTAACTAATTAAGATGATGATATAAGATGGGGCAGGCAGTATGGGAAGGGTACTCAGTGTCTTATGAAACCCACAGAATTGAACAAGCCTGAGAATGGGCTGAAATCAAACTCCAGATGCTCCCAGCCCTGGGTCCCTGAGGTTATACATCTTTTTGTCTGTTTGTTTTGAGACAGGATCTCAACTTGCAGTTCAGGCTGGCCTTCAACTCACTATGTCACCCAGGCTGGCCTTGAGCTCGCGGCCATTCTCCTGTCTCAGCCTCCCAAGTGCTGGGGTTACAGGAATGTGCCACCACGCCCAGAAATCTTTAGTGTCCTTTGCTGCATAGATGCCTCACCCCGATCTCTGTCCTCCTGGCTCCCCAAATCCTCCTGTGCAAAGAGTTCTTTTTTTTCTTTCTTTCTTTTTTTTTTTTTTTTGTGGATCCGGGGATTGGACTCAGGCCCTTGCACTTGCCAGGCAAGCACTTATTCTACTGAGTCATCTCCCCGGTCCCTCACAGAGTTCTTTTTAAAAGGACATGGTCACATTAGGCCAGGGGACTTTTCTATTCCTGTGCAATTGGATCTTGACTAATTACATATGTAATGGACACATTCTGAGCCACCAGTGGTACAGACTTCCAATATATGATGCTGTAGGGGCGGGAAGTACACAATTCTGTGCATGCAATGCCAGTCTTCTGCCACTGAGCGGCGCTGCTGAGCTACACCCTCTCCCACCCACTCCCCGGCCCGGAGCAATTCTTATTACAGCCTTGCAGCCCCGCCGCGCGCTCTCTCCCCACTCTTGCACCAGCATCGTGGCCATCTCCCGAGCCCTCCTGACCTCGTGCCCGCCAGTAGCACCCTGTAAGCACCGTGATCCTGCAGTTCCCGTTCAGTGCAGAATTTAGGGTGCTCCTGGGCATGGGCTGTCCGTGTGCCTGACAGTGACACACACTGTTCTCCACGCCCTCTGTTTCATAGGTTCTTGGGTTTTGTTTTGCTTTGTGACACTGGCGTTTGAGCCCGGGGCCTCTTGAGTGCCAGGCAAGCACTCTTCCACGGAGCTACACACCCAGTACTAGCTGGTCACCCTGAGGCATACTGCAGGAACCAATCAAAGACAGCCAAGAACTCCACCTTTCTGCCTCCCCTCTGCAACTCCATAAAAACCTCTCCTTGGGCCTCCTCCCTCCCTTCCCCTCCCTTCCCCTCCCTTCCCCTCCCTTCCCCTCCCTTCCCTTCTCTTCCCTTCTCTTTCTTTTTTCCCCTTAGGTTGTTTTGAGCCCTTCTCCACGCACGCTGAGCACACAGCGGAGCCACAGGAGTCCATTCCGTGCTCCAAGCCCGCCGGCTCTGCTTCGCTACAGAGCGCGCACCCTAAAAAGGAATGCTAGTTCCTGGGGGAAAAGGAGGGAGGTTTCACTCTTCCACAGCAACCGTTCGCGGTACGATCCGAGTGGAGAGAGGGCGAGCGGGGGAAAGGGGCGCACCATAGTTACAGACACACGCACCCGGGCATCAGGAGAGGGGACCCCCTAAGGGGGGTGCTTTAGGTGGGTGTTGTTGGGGGCCGGGTATGATGTTGACCGTAGGTGCCTGTGTCCTTAGCTACCAAGGACAACGGAGCACGGCGTTTGTTTGCGCTGCTAGGAAAGCTTGTGGTTTGGCTACTTGAAACTTTAGTCATCTGGCACATACCAGTTGAGAAGTGTTCTCCCTGTCCTGCTGTCCATGAAGAAAAAATTTTTTCATTGTACCGTTGTCCACAAAAACTACCCCTTGTTTATCTGCAGTTTGTATCTTAGTGAACGATTTTATTTTATGTTACCCATGAAACGGGGGGGGGGTACTTGTAAAAAAGACAAAAAGAACCTCACCTCCTGTGAGATGTGGGTGGTGTGGAGCAGGCAGCCAGGAATCCGCATTTGATTTATTTAGGGACACTTGGGGTCAAACGCAGCGCCTCTACTGCTACAGTTAGCATGGGAGGGGCTGAGCGAGGCACCCCGCCCCCTCACGCAGCTCAGGCACAGCGCCGCCCGGGTGCTGATCTTGTTTACAACACTTAGAAGGCCCCTGCAGATCATCAGTTCCCGCAGCAGTTAGAGACGGGAGGGGCGTGGGACGCACCTGGAGGCACAGGTGTCTGATCCTAAATCCTGGATGTCACACCCACGCGGTCAACACCAGTAGGCAGCAGCGGCAGCTGCGCCTAGGACCCGGAGCGCCTCTTTCTCCTCTTCTCTACTTTTCCTTTTCCGGATTCCTGCTGCTGCCACCATTCAATGATCTTCAATAAATGTAACTACTTACTACCTTGGTAATTCTTTTGTCATTCAAAAGAACCTGGGCCGTTTTGCCAACTCAAATGTACCACTACCATTGCGTAACCCCACCAGCCCAGAAATCTGATTTGGTTTTGTCTTGTAGTGGAAATTGAACCCCGGACTTTCACCACCCCTTTGAGACAGGGTCTCGCTACGTATCAGACTGAACTTCAACTCATTGTGTAGCCTAGACTGGCCTTGAACTTCTGGCACTCTGATCATCCTGCCTCAGCCTGCTGGAATTACAGGCATGCGCCACCACCCCCGGCCACAGCCCTTTTTTTTTTTTTTTTTTTAAATTAAGTTTTAAAACAAAGGCTGGGCACGGTTGTGCACACCTGTAATCCCAGGATTCTGGAAGCTGTGCCAGAGGATCATCAGGAGTTCGAGGCCAGCATGCACTACAACAGTGAAGCACTGTCTCAGAAAAACAAACGAAAACACAAAACACTAAGTCTTGGTAAATTGTCCAGGCTGAGCTTTGGTGTACCTCAGGCTCCCTGTCCTGTATAGGCGTGAGTCACCACGTCTGGCCCTAATTGTAACTTTCAAAATCCACCCTGTGGCCACTGGACCAGCGAGAGAAATGGGTAGGGCCATGGACAAAGAATAAGGAGGAGCGGGCAGGGCCAGGGGTTACTCGCCTGGGCTCGCAGTTTGGCTTTCTCTCAGCTTTGCTTCTTGAGGGGGCGTGACCAGCGAGCCACAGCCCCAAGCCAATCAAATCGCGGTCTTTAGGGAGCGTGGCTTGACAATTTCAGCTACTGGGCTGCCCCAACCGCAGCTCTGGAGGCCGCGCAAAGCCTACCCC